GAGAGAGAGAGGGGGGAGTCCAGTGATATTTTTCTTCTTAAAGTATTTTTTCCCTTTTTTTTTTGACTTACCAACATGTCTTAGCACTTGAGTTATATTGTCATGCCTTTGCTGAGATTCAGCTCGACATATTTGGCAAGTTGTTCTGTCAGAAGAAATTCGTCGTATAAACAATAACTTCGATTTTAATTCGCTCTCAATTGTATCAATCGACTGGGTTTTCGAAATAATTTCTTGTTGTCCTTTTGTGGATACGTTATTATTTACTTTCAGAAAAAAAAACAGTCAAAATTTTCAAGAATAAAAAAATCATTGCTACCTTTTACTTTTTCAGCAGGTAAAGTGGCTTTGTATTGGGTCATTTTAAAAAAATTATTAAATGCCTTCAGCATGATGTTATAATCGGGATTATGATAGTCCTTTCTTTTTTTATCAAACGCAAACTTCTCCGATTCTTCCGATGGATTCTTTAGGTGAAGCGCAACGCCACAAAGTGCACAAACCGAGGAAGATGTGGTCGCAAGTATTAATCTTGATTCATTACGTTGCTAATAATAATTACTTTCAATTATTAAATTGATAATTTCTTCCGATTATTTTTTATCTTTGTCATGCATGCAATACAGATGTACTTTAAAATAAAACGTTCATTACTTGATCACTACCCTCGTATCGCCTTGGTTCGGAATAGCGCATTTGGGAATCTGGGCCTCTCTTCCATCGCTCTTCTATATCGTTCACGATCAACTGTATCAATCTTATCGCGGATTCTTTAATTGCTTGTAGTAAATCGTGGAGCGTCGCGATCTGTTAGCAGTTCATTAATTTCCTTTAATGCAGGATCAAGTAATATTATAATTATTAAATAACTTAAATAATGCAATTCAAAAACAATTCAATAGTAAAAATATAATTATTATTTTATAATAACTAATGCGCAAAAATTGGCGTTTTAGATCTGTGGAAATATTAAAAAAAAAGAGATTTTCTACATTATTTTTAATAATATTATATAATTCTTAATGTTAAAAAAATGTCCATTATTTACATTAACTTACGCATTATTTTAATTCTTTATTATTTGATATATTATAAAATAAGACAAATTAAATATTACACACAATAGAAAATAAAAGACGCGTTGTTTTATTAAAGCCAATTTACGAATTTCTACATTTCAAGGAAACTCAATATTTACATTGCCATCTTTTTACAACAATAATTTAACAATATTTAACAATAATTATTAAACTAGCGTTTAATATTAACTATATGTTTTTTCTTTTTTTGAATTAACATATAGAAGTTAGAGAGAAACTTTATTCAGAGAACTTGTTAATATTCTGTGTTGAAAATGTATATACATACAAGAAAATGTATCACCTACTTGTTGATCATGATCGCCAAATATGTAAGGTCTTTTTAATTCCTTACAAAAGCGATATGCAGGACAAAATTGCATTTTAGATAATGAATCCGTCGATGGATCACGACTCATTAGCACAATGCTTTGTTTCGATGAAATCCCGATGGTAAGAGGATCGTGCGTAGCGATATATTTTTCATTGCGTGTCATTTCCATCATTTCTAATCTGATGTAAATTCAACTTAATCTGAAATAATAGTGGCGTGATATAGATGGTAGTTTGCTCTCGAAGGAACAATGACCAATGACGAGTCCTGATAATGTCGAGCCATTTTCACATGATTTTTTATTATGTCATTTTTGGTGCCAATTCTGAATATCCAGTTGCATCATGAAATTTGAAACTCGACGAATTTTATCAAGTTTTATTTTCGATGTTAGTGGCATATTTCAAGATGTAGTTATTCATTCATTAACCTAGTTTCAATTTTTTATTAAAATTTTTATATAAATGATGGCTGATTTCTCGAAAAAGCCAGTAGCTGCTACAATAAATACCGATGTAAATAAATCTGCAAATGAAATCATCAAATCTAATAAAACGAGTTATTGGAAGCAAATGCTAAAGAGCTACGAAAAAAGAAACGCCTCATTGGAGAGGAAACGCAGCGCACTCGTCGAAAGAATACGTTTCATGGAATGTACATCTTTGCTGGTGGGCGCTGCCGCATCCGCCGCTTATGGCAAACGAAAAATTTTCGATGAACAGTCAAGAATCCTCGAGAATACGTCTAAATCCACTGCTCAAAAAACTCCATAGTTATGTTTGATAAAGTATTACAGAGAACAAGGCAACTATTATAAACAAGAAGTGAATATTTGCCTAAAATGTGATACAAATTTAGTAGCATGTATGTATGCACATATAAATGTCACAATAATAACATAGTGTATATATAAACTAAAATTTATACCATTTTTATTGTATCTTATAATTTTCCAGATATCTCTATCATCATTTTTCTGAGGTAACAATACCTAGTTTTGCGATACATTCTCTGTACATTCACACTCTCGCAAGAAAGGTCCATATATGTATGTTTCCTTTCTCTTGTATAATCTGTATCCATATGTACAGAAAAAATAATAAGAAGAATAATTGAAAAAATAATTAAAGAGAATAATAGTTTCTTTAATGAGAAAAATTGCCCACATATATAATTACATATAGGCAATGTGTTCTCTTTCTCTCTCACTTCTTCAAATTTCATTTTTCCTTAAAAAAAGAAAAACAACGCAAAATTTATTTTTCTCATTATTTTTTCTGTACATACATTACATTTTCTGGACAGAGATTATACAACAGAAAAAAACATAACATTTTATAAAAACATTTTATAAAACATATTTTATATATAATTATTTATATTTTTTATTATATATAAACTTTTTTCCAGACTATTAGAAGCTTATTATTAGCATGCGTGAAATAAAAACAATTTTTAGTTTATATTTTTTATTTTAAAAATTAATAACTTAACAATAAAAGAAAGAGAAGAAGTGACGTAAAACAGATAAACAATTTTATTTGAGATTATGTTTCTTGTAGACACACGAGAAAAAAATCAACTTTATGATACGAAACGATCCTGAGTGAAACGAATCGTAGCACTTGTTCAAGTTCTATTAAAACATTTTCGCTTCAAAAATTTATAGCGAATAAATACAGTAAGCGCGCTTAAATATACACACTGCTTACAAAACCTTAAACTTATCTATCATCACTCAAGATCAAACATGCTAAAGTAAAGCATGCATA